TACTTTGGACATATTGTCCGGAGGAAACAATCGCTGGAGAAGGATGTCATGCTGGGTAGGGTGGAAGGTCAGAGAAAGAGAGGAAGACCCCCAACGAGATGGATCAGCCAGGTGGCATCATTGATGGACTCAGGTGTGGCAGCATTAGTGAGGTTGGCCCAGGATCGTTCTGCTGTGCATGGGATTGCTATGAGTCAGTTCCGACTTGATGGCACCTGACAACAACAACAACATGCATCTGATATCATCCTATACATGGTAGTCGTGGCTGTGTGCTGTGGAATCGGTCCGGACTCATAGTGACCCTGTACAGGGTTTCTGTGGCTGTAAATCTTTATGGGGGCAGACTGCCTTATCTTTCTCCTGCAGGACAGCTGGTAATTTTGAACTGTTGACTTTGTGGTTCGCAGCCTGATTTGTAACCACTACTCTACCAGAGCGCCTATACATAGAAGATCCTAAAGACCAACAAAAAAATTACTGGAACTCATTGGAAGATTCAGCAAAGTGGGAAGGTACAAGATTAGCGTACAAATATCAGTTGGGCGGTGCTTCCCTGACCGGACAGCCAGGTATGCGGGCTCCAGAGGAAACGGGGGTTGAATCGCACAGGGGAGGCCCCCGCCTGGTAGACAGACAGCCTTTGGGCAAACATTAGGCTTTAACATTATGAGCTTGCTTTTTAAAAAAATCAAACTGTTGAGGAGTTACAAGCATTTTGAGCTTCCACCTGCCTGCACTTGGATCCCACCTCGGGGACTGCCCTGCCCATTGCAGAGCTTGAAGCGCAGGGCTTGAGCGGACCCGTTCAGAGGGTGGATGCTCCCTAGAGCTAGCAGGGCCACAGGAACTAGCATGGTCCATTCCAGGGGGGTCTCATTGCCACGTTGGACATTGTCGGCATGGATATAGGGCAAATTGGAGTGCTCAAGGCACAGGGAGACAGAGAGAGGTATTGTAGACATCATCAGACACCAGTGTGCCATCTGCCTGCAGCCACTACCCCCGCCCTCCACTTCTTCGGCCTAGGCCAGCCCTCTGTCCAGCCTGCGAGCCTCAGGCCAGCCCATCAAGGTGCAGACCAGCTCAAGCTGAGATGCCCTTGACAAGTCTCTCAATACCACTAAGATAGAAGAACAAATGCAAAAAAGGGTAAAAAATTCAGAGGAAGGTCTAAGATTCATGTTGGACAACATGAAGAGGAATAACCTAAGAATTATTGGCATTCGATAGCAAAATGAGTCACACTAGTCCACAGAGGAAATAGTCAAAGAACTACTGGAAGAAAATTTCTCTAACATCCTCAAGGGCAAAAAGATAGAAATACAAGAAGCCCAACTAAGCCCAGGAAGGGTGGACCCCAAAAGAAAATCACCAAGACATATCATAGTCAAGCTCTCCAAACTCACAGACAGGGAGACACTCCTGAAAGCAGCAAGAGAAAACAGAAGGGTCACATACAAAGGCAAACAAGTCAGACTAAGCTCAGACCTCTCAGCAGGACCCATGCAAGCGAGAAGGCAATGGGGAGACATATATAAAACCCTGCAAGAAAAATAATTGCCAACCAAGAATCCTTTATCCAGCAAAGTTATCAATCAAATACGAGGGTGTAATCAAAACATTCCCGGATATTGGGCTTCCTTCTACACCAGTGACAGGTGTTCTCTCTGGGACACGCCCACTGCCTCTGCCCATCTCCCTTCCATTTCCGGTCTCACGCGTGGAGCAGGGAGAGGAGCCCAGCCAGTGATTCCAGTCCATAAACGAGCAGTATTGGGGGCGCGGATGGCCGCTGTTCATCTGTTTCTAATGTGCCCCGAGCTCCGCGTCCACTATCGTCCCTCGGCCTGAATCCGCGGAGCTTCGGGAACCTGCTCTTAGACATCCGAAAGGTGGAGCGCAGGAATGGGTACAGTGATCATTGAAGATGTGGCGGTGGTCTTCACGCACGAAGAGTGGGATTTGCTGGATCCTGCTCAGAGGAAACTCTACAGAGATGTGATGATGGAAACCTTGAGAAACCTGGCTTCAGTTGGTGCAGTCATGGAATCACATGGCTGGAAGGATCACCTTGACAACCAGGGGAGACATTTGAGAATTGGTACAATCAAGAACCTGGGTGAACGTTGTGAACACAACCAGTGTGGGGAAATATCTAGCCCGATTCCTGGTCTTTCTGTGCAGCAAATAGATCCCACAGAAGTAGATGCTTTTGAATGCTGTGAGTATGGAGGAGCCTTCCTGGATCATTCCCTAGAGAACAATCGTAGTAGAGCTCACGCTGGGAGCAGTACCTGTCAGTGTCCGGACTGTGGAGAAGACTGCAGGTGTCCTTCTCCTCTGACCACGCCTGTGAGCACTCATGGTGGGAAAAATACTCATAAATGTAAGATAAGTGGAGACAGGCCGCATGAATATACGGAGTGTGGGAAAGTCTCTGGTGAGGCGTCACTCCTCCCTGGACTTGTAGGAACTCACAGTGCACAGAGGTCATTTGAATGTGAAGAGTGTGGGAAATCCTTTAGGGATTCCTCACAGCAGAGTCGATATTTGCAAACTCACAGTGGAGACAGGCTGTATGAATGTAAGCAATGTGGAAAAGCCTTTAGACTGTCCTCACAGTGCAAGAGACCCACAGTGGAGAGAGGCCCTATTAATGTAAGGAATGTGGGAAAGCCTTTGTTAATGTCTCAAGCCTAATAGTACATAGAACAATTCACAGGGGAGAGAAGCCTTACGAATGTAAGCAATGCAGGAAAGCCTTCAGATTTTCCTCAGAGTGCAGGAGACACATAGGAACCCACAGTGGAGAGAGGCACTATGAATGTAAGGAGTGTGGGAAAGGCTTTCTAACACCCTCAAGCCTCAGAAGACATACAATAATCCACAGTGGAGAGAGGCCCTATAAATGTAAAGAATATGGAAAAGCCTTTAGAACAAGCGCAGATCTTACAGGACATAGAAGAATCCACAGTGGAGAGAAGCCTTATGAATGTAAGGAGTGTGGGAAAGTGTTTAGAACAACTTCACACCTCAAAATACATAGGGGAATCCACAGTGTGGAGAGGCCCTATGAATGTAAGTATTGTGGAAAAGCGTTTAGAACAATTGCACATCTTAAATCACATAGAATAATCCACAGTGTAGAGAAGCCTTATGAATGTAAGACATGTTGGAAAGCCTTTAAAAGCACCTCATACCTTAGAAAACATAGAAGAATCCACAGTGCAAAGAGGTCCTATGAATGTAAGGAGTGTGGGAAAGCATTTAGAACAACTTCACTACTTACAACACATAGAGGAATCCACAGTGCGGAGTGGCCCTATGAATGTAAGGAGTGTGGGAAAGCCTTTAGAACAACTTCACTACTTACAACACATAGAAGAATCCACAGTGTGGAGAGGCCATATGAATGTAAGCAGTGTGGAAAAGCCTTTAAACTGTCCTCACAGTGCGGACACATGCGGACCCACAGTGGAGAGAGGCCCTATGAATGTAAGGAATGTGGGAAAGCCTTTGTTAGAGTCTCAGGCCTCATAGTACATAGAACAATTCACAGTGGAGAGAAGCCTTATGAATGTAAGCAATGTGGAAAAGCCTTTGGACTGTCCTCTCAGTGCAGGAGACACATGCGGACCCACAGTGGAGAGAGGCCCTTTGAATGTAAAGAATGTGGAAAAGCCTTTAGAACAACCTCACATCTTACAGAACATAGAATAGTCCACAGCGGAGAGAAGCCTTATGAATGTAAGCAATGTGGGAAAGCCTTCAGATTTTCCTCACAGTTCAGGAGACATATGCTAACCCACAGTGGAGAGAGGCCCTATGAATGTAAGGAGTGTGGGAAAGCGTTTAGAACAACTGCACAACTTACAACACATAGAGGAATCCACAGTGCGGAGAGGCCCCATGAATGTTTGGAGTGTGGGAAAACCTTTAGACAACCTGCACACCTTAGCAAACATGAAAGAATCCACAGCGGAGAGAAGCCTTATGAATGTAAGAAATGTGGAAAAGCCTTCAGACTGTCCTCACAGTGCAGGAGACACATGCGAATCCACAGTGGAGAGAAGCCCTATGAATATAAGGAGTGTGGGAAAGCCTTTAAAAGAACTGCACACCTTAGCAGACATAGAAGAATCCACAGTGTAGAGAGGCCCTATGAATAAGGAGTGTGGGAATGTCTTTCTAACACCCTCAAGCCTCAGAACACATACAGTACTCCACAGTGGAAGGAGGCCCTATGAATGTAAGGAGTGTGGGAAATCCTTTAAAAGCACCTCATACCTTAGAATACATAGAAGAATCCACTGTGCAGAGAAGTCCTATGAATATAAGGAGTGTGGGAAAGCATTTAGAACAACTTCACAACTTAAAACACATAGAGAAATCCACAGTGGAGAGAGGCCCTATGAATGTAAGGAGTGTGGGAAAGCCTTTACAAGAACCTCACATCTTACAGCACATAGAAGAATCCATAGTGAAGAGAGGCCTTATGAGTGTAAAGAATGTGGAAAAACCTTTACTTGTTTCTCTTCCCTCAGTATACATAAGTGAATTCATAGTGGAGAGAGACATTAAGAATGTAAACAGTTTGGGAAAGCCGTTACAAGAGCCTCAGCCCTTATTGTACATAGAAGAATCCGCAGTGGTGAGACCCTATGAGTATAAGGAATCAGGGGAAAGGTTTACTCATTTCTCAAGTTTCAAATCACATAGAAATATCCACAGTGGAGAAAGACCCTATGAAAGTAAGGAATTTGATGGTGGTGGTGGTTATGTGCTGTGCAGTCGGTTCCGATTTATAGGAATCCTGTACAGGGTTTCCGAGGCTGGAAATCTTTATGGGAGCAGAAAGCCTCATCATGTGGGGAAATGTTAAATCATCACTTAACCCTCCTTTCATATAAAGAGCACACAGTGGAGGGAAACTCTTCAGATTTGCCTCACAATACAGTACATAAAAGTGATTCCATAATGGAGAGAGGCCCTATGAATGTCAGGAGTGTAAGAAAGCATTTAATCAGACCTCACACCTCTCTGTCCATAAAAGGATTCAGAGATAAAAGACTTCTTTATGTCCAATTTTGATATTTCTTCCATACTGCTACTGTGAAGTGAGCAAAATTCAAAATACTGCGCTTAATGTGAGCAAAATTCTCACAGAAACATGTCAGCTTCATGGTAACTGCAGGGATATATCCTCATCAATGTTTGTTATATTGTCATTCCATGATTAATTGTACCTCTCTTTAAATCTTCTGTTACTATAGTAAAGTCTCAGGAAATAGCCTTCAAAGAAAACATTCCCGGATAAACAGAAGCTATGGGACTTCACCAAAGCCAACCCTGCACTACAAAACATCCTAAAGTGAGGTCTGTGGACCGAGAACCAACAAGAACAGACAAAAACCAGAGATTGACGTACATGGAAGCACCTCCCTGAAATAAGTCAACAGAAAAAAGAAATGTTAACAAAACAAAACTATAAGAACAAACTGAGAGACTCTGGGAGGGCAGTCTATGACCAAAACAAGTACAATGCAAAAGAAGGTGAACACATAGGAAAAGAGATCCAGACAGTGAGAAGGTCAGGTAGATTACAGGGTAAAATAGACTGCACTAAATGGACAGAGAATTCAATGGACCATAAGGCAACCTCAAAGAAAATTAGCACTTCACTACATATCAAGAGAATGAGAACCCAAGAAGAATATGAAAATATTAAAACTATGAGGAAATGCACAAGAAAGAGCACAAAAATCATGAATTCAACAGAGAAAGACAAATAGAACAAAGAAGCAGCAACACTACAAAAAACAAATATAATGACAGCAAATAATCAATACCTATTGATACTTACACTGAATGTAAATGGAATGAATGCACCTGTTAAGAGATGGAGGGTGGCAGAATGGAAAAGAAAACAAGATCTTCCAATATGCTGTCTGCAAGGGACACATCTCACACACAGAGACAGAAACAGATTAAAAGTGAAAGGATGAGAAAAAATATACGAAGCTAGTTGTAAAAAAAGCGAACAGGAGTGGCAGTGCTAATCTCGAATAAAATAAACTTCAAGGCAAAAGCCAGCATAATAGATAAAGATGGGCATTATCTCATGATTAAAGGGACAATTGAACAAAATGAAATAACCATGTTAAACATCTATGTTCCCAATGAAAGAGTGCCAAAATATATAAAACAAACTTTAATAGATTTGAAGAAAGAAATAGATGAATCTACAATAATAGTGGGTGACGTTAATACACCACTTTCAAAAATGGATAGAACAACCAGAAAGAAACTTGACAAAGACACAGAAGATGTAAACAACACAATCAA